CTTTTTTGTTTTTTGATCTGAGTACTGCCTTCCGTACAGAGCACAGTGGTCGATTCTACCAATCCGGCAGGCAATAAATGAAAAATTAAAATGTCGAATCTTGTTAATTTTTTTTTACTTTTTGGAAAGTAAACATCCCACTGATATTTATTGCGATATTTATATATTTTTCCTATCGATAGTCCAGTACCTGCACGCGGTTGGATCGCAGAAAACTTTTCTGTCTATCCCTAAGTACATTTTTCCGCCTTTTTATGGCTTTTGGTAAAGCAAAATAAATCTTTATGTTTTGCGATTTGTATTAAAATTACCATCCATTTTTATCATAGTTGGTAAGTATTCAACAAAAAAAATATGTGTTGGTCCTGTGCTTACATGTATTAATGGTAAATCGTTGTAGAACTTAACATTTCCTTTAGTGTGCTTTTAATAACATACCCGACACTTGCATGGAATAGACCTATTGACATCCGCCCCCATTCGCCTTCAATCTTTTTCTCTTTATGAAACCAGTCTTTTTTTAATCTTCTGTGTTGAAACAAATTGCAACTACGTGCAACACGTTAATTTATTTAATTTTATAGGGAAAATGGCAGTGTCAAAATGCACGCTTTTCGCGATGTTTCGTAAGGAAACTGAGTAAGAAAAAAAAGCTAAACCGAGTTGGATCCATGTTTTCACTCAATTAATTGATAACACTACTCGACAAAATCGAACTTTTTTTTTCCTCAAGGATCCAAACCGACTTTTTCTGATAGATATGGGGATTTAAAATTTTTTTTAAAGAATTATGGTTTTTTTTTGCTATGGCAGAACTTTTTTTTGAAGAATTTTTGAAGTCTGGTATTTTTTTTTAAGCTTTTTTCAGAGGTAGCGCTTGTTTTTTTCACATAGCTCTAGTATCTTACGTCTGGTTGTAAGGAACTTTGCTATTTTGAAAAGATAATTAAAACAGCTTGAAGTAAAGCCCAAACACTTTGTGATTACAGCTGGGAAATATAAAGCATTGAAATGCAAAAATGATGATTTTTGTGCGGTATTTTTTACGAAATTTTGACTTTAAAAACTCAGGAAAAGTCGAAAAAAAAGTATATCCTGTGTCCTCTATTTTTTTGTGTATAGGTGCATTAATTTGGCGTCGTTCAAGGTATCGCTCATTAAAATCTATGGAGAGACTTTGGAGCTAAAATTCGTTAACCAAACCTAAAAAATGGAAAAAATGAACAAAAAATACCTTTTGGAAGGTTGCGAGCTCAACTCGAATTCAAAAAAAAGTTCTGCCATAGAAAAAAAAAATATCATCAAACCATTTCTAAGCCCCAAATCTTTAATAAAAAGTTGGTTTGGTTCCTTGAGGAAAAATCGTGTTGACCAGTGTTGTTAGCGAATAAAAAAAATTAAGTAATTTTGCCTCTGAGTGAAGTGTACAGCAGAAATTTAAAATACTTCAAATAACAGACCAAAAATTTTAATTTTGACCTATACCTTTTTTGTATTAATATAAAGTGATTATGAAAACATTTTATAATATTTTGAAATACAAAAATTATTTTGTTTTTTAATTTATTTTTAAAAGTTTTTAAGGTAAAAAAAAAAATTAAAAATGTATTTAAATACTCCGCGGATTTATATTCCAAAATACAAAAATATTTTTAAATATTGTACTCATTTATTTTTTGAGTTATCAATTATTGCCTGCCAGATTGGCAGAATCGACCACTGTGCAGAGCCTAGAAAACAGTTTTTGCCGTAAAACATTTCTTATCGGTTTCATACGAATATCAACCCTGATTCTGTTCGCTAGGTGTTTTTTTCGATCTGAGTACTAGGCTTAACGGCCAATTCTCATTATTTTTAAAGGGATATTTAGACGACAACCTGTATTCGCTGGTCCCCCTCCCCTTCCCTTAAATATAACGGCTGATTTAAACAGCTGCATGTATGTACGATCTACATTGATATGGATATGTACATATGTACATAAGTAAATGTACGTATGTATGTATGTACATTAGGCTGGGCCAAAAAATATTTTTTTCGAAATTCAAACGGGACACCCCCTAGTTTTTATACCCGTACTAAAAAAAAGAGTTAAGGGGTATATTAGATTTGTGGTAAAAGTGGATGTGTGTAAAGCAGAGAAGGAAACGTTTCCGACCCCATAAAAGTATATATATTCTTGATCAGCATCAATAGCCGAGTCGATATAGCAATGTCTGTCTGTCTGTCTGTCCGTCTCGTTGAGCGCCTAGATCTCAGAGTAATTGTAATTGTAATTGTAACCCTCCCCGAGGGTGTCGGCTGCGCAATGGGCACTGCATTATCACGGACAACGGGTAATACATCGCCGCTTGCTCTGTCCGAGGTAATGTAGTGTTTAGCTAAGGCAAAGGTCCAGGTCTTTCCGATAAAAAATCGGGGGAACTGAACCAGAGCCAATGCTGGAGGGCCCTGGCGGGTAGGCATAAAACGCTAGGGTGTGGTTCCCCCGATAAATATGAGCTTTATGGACCTTCGGGACACAATGAAGCGCGGAAAGGATCAAGCAGGGAGAGGTATGTCAGTTCAAACGTCGGTGGAAAGCGTGACAGCTACCACCGGCGGGCACGGGGAGGAAAAATCCTCTCTGCGTGTCGCCAGCGGTCACAATTCTGATATATGGCAGGTCATATTAGTTTTAAAGCTACTGCCACCAAAATGCCTCACCTCAAGCTGGGCCGCACGGGTGCCGTTGTCAAGACAGACTCAGACCTGGAGAGCGTGATCAGCGTAGAACGGGGGAAGAAAGCCTTCTCTGCTCGCCTGAACCAGATACCAGCTCCCTGCGTAGGGAAGGGCCGAAGCGTTCTAAAGAGATGAAGGCTAAGGCTCAGTACAAGGCGGCGCTTACAATCCAGAGCCGGCTCCAAGGAAATGCCATGAGGAGAAAGCCAAGCTAGCCTGGGCCGAACAAAGGAAGGACGTCTGCACTACGCGCATGCCCCAGAAGAAGGTATCGAACGGCGGATTCGCCAACAAAGTTTAGGAGATGCTTGCCATCAAAAGGCAACTTTCAGCCGAGAGTGCCATCAAGGATACTCCGATGAGCAAACGGAAACGCGATCCCAAGGTGGCAGTCCATCCACCCAATACGGCAAAGAAGCCTGAACCCAAGGCGAAGGTCAATTAGGTGACCGAACGATATCTGATCGTGGCATTGTGCATGCGCGGCTCGTGGATGCGCAGTTCACACGAATGGAAGAGGACCCATCAGCCTCCATGCCCATGTTCGATGGTGCTGGGTTGCTTAACGGGGTCAAAACACTCAAATGTATGGATGACCAGGTGAGGTCACGCTGAGGTGGCTGACGCACACGGTCTGCCAATTTGAAGCGATGTGGGATGGGTCCAAGCTGGAGGTGGTGGACAGGGAGATAGTCCCGTCTATATCCAAAGCAAAGGTACCTTTTCCCGTCGCAATCCAAGTGGACCGTGCGCTGAAGCTGCTACAACGGCAGAATCCAGACGTGCCTGAGTACAGGCTATATCCCTATTCAATGGAGGACCTCGAGAATTGTCTTCCTTCCAATGCAGCCATATGAGCCCCAAGGATTATAGACCGATCAGCCTCACCTCCTTTCTACTCAAGACACTAGAAAAGCTGCTGAATCTACAAAAATCAGGAACGATGTAGGGGGACAGATCTCAACCAACCAATGACTACACCAAAGGGAAATCGCTAACGGCACTGCATTCGCTAGTAGAAACCATCGAGAGAGCCCTTCATAATAAAAATCACTGGATCTACATTTCGGTGGTGCGACCGACTCTGCTGTATGGAGTCTTAGTGTGGTAGCAGGCCGAGACCTGATCAGTATATCTGACTACATGATCCCCCGAACTTGCCTGGACGTCAAAACCACATCACTCATGGGACCAAACGACTGGAAATAGGGTTGGGATCAGAATGAGCACCTTAACATAAACACAGACGGCTCGAAGATGGAAGGAGGAGTAGGAGCGGGCATATACTGTACAGACCCTAAAATAAGGCAGTTCACGGATGGTCCACACGACGTGGTCAACCTGTTCGTGGACAGCCAGGGATAAGATCCATGCAGTCGTCAGCGGTCAGTTCTAAAAATGTCCTGGCAAGCAGGGAGGCATTCGATTTCCTAAGCACGACAAAGTCAGTGCGGATAAATTGGGTTCTCAGCCATCAGGGCATCAAAGGTAACGAGAAAGCAGACGTTCTGGCGAACGAGAGGACTGAGAACGTTCCTGTCTCCCTTAGAACGCTACAAAGCGATATAGAGAGACGGGCATACATACAGGCCAGAAATAGGTGGAGTACCACCACCTGCGGAACCGCGAAAACCATGTGCAAGGAGCGAAATGGGAAACTCAGCCACTACCTACTGCACCTACCACGGAAGGACAGCAGGATGTAAGTGGAAACACTTACAGGTCACTGCCTGGCTGCAGCATGCAGTTAAACGTAAAGCTGGCGCACTGCACAGGGCAGAGAGTGTGCGAGCGAGAAAGAGAATAAGTAGCGTCAGCAGCGCCGGAGGACGTGAGGGTTGCCACTGCAAATAAATTTCTTCATTCTGGCTATAATAATGATTGCCCCTCATCTGAGAGCTTCTACCCACACAAACGCACCCACCACCGCATTGTTGTGAACAAAAGAGCACATATTTGTGGTTGGGGAGTAGAAAAACATATCTTAGTGATAGAGAGCAAAATTGAGAGACTTTGCAGCAAAGCAGGACAGAATATACGGAGGTCTTTAAACGATCGATTATCAGTTAAATATTGGCTGGATATTGAGTGTCTATTGAACGCGGGAATAGATGGTGATGAATGGCAATCCCAAACTACCGAAAGGTTTATCATATGAATATTCCAATGGAGATAGACTGTTCTGCAACCTTAGCAAGACTTTAAATAAGAGTAAAAAAAGCTTTAACGGGAGGGAGAGATAGACAGCACAAAGGAAGGAAAGCATGTAAACGCACCTGCATGTGCTCCTTCTGTTGCTTGGTAACAATGCTGGTGGTGCGTATAGTGGCAAAGTTATTGGGGCCGTGATCGTTGACAGCATTGGAGATGGCTTGCTGCGAGGAGGCCGAAGAGGCTGCATAAACGGCTGCCTGGGCGGCAGGAGTTGTCAGATAGCGCGGCTGGCATACGATTGGTGGCATACGATCAGCTCCAGGGCCGGAAGCCGGCGGCCCTCCACTGCTGCCTCCTGTGCTATGACCTATTCCGCTAAGATGCGTGATCATGGAAAGCGTTGCGGCGGGCGCTGGCACGACAGATGCCGAGTTAGTTGGCGTCACATTGTTGTTCATGCTGTGCATGATGTTAGGCAACGGCGGTCGATTACGATGTCGCGATGAGTTCCGCGAAGCGCCGCCGACCGGAACCACCTGTTGCTGTCCGCCGCCACCACTAGGCCTGCTGAGCTGCGGCTGCTGTGAATGATAGTGATGATGCATGGCAACTACCACTGCAGCAGCCGCCTGCTGATGATGGTGCGCAGCGATATGGTGATGATTCTGTGCAGCAGCCGGTATAGAATTCGATGATGAGCTCTGCAAGAGGGGACATATGAAAATGATTGGAATTCAGACCAGGACTAGAGACAGTGGGGCTGCGGATAGGCATACCTGACTACTTGCTGCTGATACACCAACAGAGTGTATGGAGTGTTCCGAAGTAATACTATTGCTCTTGCTGCTGTCACCGCCGACATGATCGTCCTGTTGGTCATCGGCATCGCCCATGGCACTCTCTGTCTCGCACGTGTCCACCATGAGTATCTTCTTCATCTTGCGGTAGTTGAGGTTATCTAATTCGCGCACGGCCGATTTGGTGCGAGCTATTAGTTCTAGCAGGACCGTATCGGAGCGCGGTCGTGTAACATACTCATGCAGCAAGAGCTCTTCCGAAGAAGGACGCTCGGGAGGCATCTTTTTGAGGCACAACTCGACAAATCTACAGAATGCATCTGACCAGTCATTCTTCTAAAGCGGTAAAGAAATTTTTGAATTATTGATATTTTGTGGACAAGCCTTCCTTTTGGACATCAGAAAGGATTAGGTACATAGGCTAATAAATGCATGATGTATAACGTTAACGATTTAATATCCAAAGTATTTACACATATAGTTAAGAATTCTCCAATTTCTAACTGCATATTTGCGAGGGCGGATCAATAAGTCCCAGACTTTTTGAATTTTCCGCCTCTTAATTGATTGCCCTTTTTTTGTCAAGGGCATCTATTAACTGATTCCTGTCAAAATTGTAAGAAGCTGCGCCAGTTTGTTTGTGGTTTATAGCAATTGATAGTAAGCTTCCTCTTGCTTTGATGAAAAAATGGGAAAAATGAATTTCGTGCTCTCATTAAGCTTTTTTTTTCGGAAAAAAATCATCACTGAAACCAAGGAAAAGCTTGATAAGCTATTTTTCACAGATTTCAATGGTAAAAAAGTGGTTTACTTTATTTGGTTGTGCCCGTACAAGCACAAACTATGCCTCACATCCTGGACGCCCAATTAAGATCTTATACCCGAAGAAATTGAAATAATTCTCGATATGGAGTTGGCTGCTCGGAGATTGAAATGGCAAGATATTCTGGAAGCCATAGGCAACCATACAGCTAAGTGGTTTTTATACCCGTACTCAAAAAGAGTTAAGATTTATTTGATTTGTGGTAATCATGGATGTGTGCAACGCAGAGAAGGAAACGTTTCCGACCCCATAAATTTAATATTCTTGATCAGCATCAATAGCCTAGTCGATATAGCCATGTCTGTTTGTCCGTCCGTCTGTCTGTCCATCCGTCCGTACGCCTAGTTCTCAAAAACTATAAGAGCTAGAGCAACCAAATTTAGTTTCCAGACTCATATCACCTTTACGTTAAACAGACAAACTTGCCCTTCATTATGTCTGAACAATTAACATTCCACAAACCACTGAAGTAACATACCTTGGTGTTCATCTGGATAGAAGGCTTACTTGGCGTAAACACATCGAAGCGAAGAGAAATCTACTTCAATTTAAAGCTAGTAATCTACATTGGCTAATAAACACCCGTTCACCACCAAAACTGGAGTACAAAGTACTTTTGTACAATGCAGTTCTTAAACCCATCTGGACATACGGTTCCGAGCTATGGGGAAATGCTTGCGTTAGTAATTTAGAAATAATCCAGAGAGCTCAATCGAAGATACTAAGAACTATCACTGGGGCACCATGGTACATACGGAATGAAAATATCCATAAAGACTTAATTGTAGGATCATTTAAAGATGAAATTGTCAAAGTGAAAGCAAAGTACCAGGCCAAGCTTCAAGCCCATCCTAATAGACTTGCGCAGTCTTTAACTTGGCACACTAGCCATACACGACTCCGGCGAAGAGACCTCCCCACCCAGCAATAATACTTAGCTAGGGACGTACTCTAAGTAATTAAGTGTAATTAATAAAATAAATATATTAGGCTAAGATTTGTATAATTGTCGTAAGTCTCTAATAGGGAAGATTCGATAAATAAAATCCGGTAATAAAAAAAAAGACTCATATCACACTGCTACCAAAGACAATATAAGAATAAGATGCGTAACGCTCATACATTTCAACTGCCATATGCAAGCCAATTTTCGGCAAGCCACGGCGAGCGTACGAATCTTAAAATAGAATCCGCTTGCATTTGTGAGTACACACAGAACCAGCAAGTGCGTATGTGTGCGTACTTGTGCGAAGCGGACGATTTTCGAGACGAAACCCTTTTAATGAGTTGAGAGACGAATTTATTTACAGTCGCTGAATACGTCCCACGCTGAATACCCTAATGACAATTATTCCAATGTGAAGTCATGTATTAAATATATTATGTACTTTTATATAAGTATATCCGCTCATTACACTACTCGACAAAATCGAACTTCTTTTTCCTCAAGGATCCAAACCGACTTTTTCTGATTGATATGGGGCTTTAAAGCAGTTGGGCCCGCAACCATCCAGAAAGTATTTTTTGTTAATTTTTTAGGTTTGTTTAACGAGTTTTAGCTCCAAAGTCTCTCCATAGATTTTGATGAGCAATACCTTAAACGACGCCTTATTAATGCACCCATACACAAAAAAGTAGACGTCACAGGATATAAGTTTTTTTCGACGTTTCCCGAGTTTTTAAAGTAAAAATTTCATTAAAAAAAACGCAAATCATAAATCATAATTTTTGCAGTTCAATGCTTTTTATTTTCCAGACGGTAAGCTGAAATCACAAAGTGTTTGGGCTCAACTTCTAGCTGTTTTAATTATCATTTTAAAATAGCAGAAGTTCTTTATAACCAGACGTAAGATACGAGAGTTACGTGAAAAAAAGAAACGCTACCTCTGAAAAAAGTTTAAAAAAAAAAAACCAGACTTAGAAAATTCTTCAAAAAAAAAGTTCTGACATAGAAAAAAAATTTGTTATCAAACCATTTCTAAGCCCTAAGAAAAAGTTAGTTTTGTTCCTTGAGGAAAACTCGTGTCGAGTAGTGTAATCAGCCTGCGGTAGCTGCCAACCCAGAGGAGATTTTTCAATCCATGAGGATTCCGGATGCTGTCCGACAATTACAATAGTCAACACTAGAATTAGGCTGTTGCCCAAAAGACTTTTTCTTATAGATTTCGGGGTTTAAAATTTTTTAACGAATTATGGTTTTTTTTATGGTGTAGTTTTTTTTTTTAATTTTAAAAAATCTGGTATTTTTTTAATGTTTTTTTTCAGAGGTAGTGCTTCTATTTTTCACATAACTTAAGTGTCTTATATCTGGTTGCATAGACTATTGCAGTTCTGAGAAGCTGACAAATGCAACTATAAATCGTACCCAGAAACTTTGAATCTGCAGCTTAATGCCTGAAAGATATTAAGCTTTCAAATTCAAATTTCATAATTTATTTGCGGTATTTTTTTCGACATTTTGACTTTAAAAACTCGGGAAAACTCGAAAGAAAAATAATTCTTTTTTTGAAGAATTTTCTAAATCTGGTATTTTTTTTAAAGCTTTTTTCAGAGGTAGCGTTTCATTTTTTCACGTCACTCTAGTATCTTACGTCTGGTTATAAAGTACTTTTGCTATTTTAAAATGATAATTAAAACAGCTAGAAGTTGAGCCCAAGCACTTTGTGATTTCAGCTTACCGTCTGGAAAATAAAAAGCATTGAACTGCAAAAATTATGATTTTTTTGCGTTGTTTTTAACGAAATTTTTACTTAAAGAACTCGGGAAAAGTAAAAAAACGAGAAGGAACGTGTGAGTCGCTTCTGGGGACGCGACTCTACTTATACCCGTACTCAGTCAGTATATACATGTAAAGTGGTAGTATTGGCGTGAGTCGATAGTCCTCACTCTGATCGCCCACCACCAAGGATTGGTCCATCTCAAAGTCGTCGTCGTTGATATGTCAGTAGTTGAGTTGGTCGGCAGATGTCAGAGAGTAAAGTTGAATAAGTTGTTTCTAAAGTCGTCAAAATCAGCAGTTCTGTTAATTACATATAATGAAAACCTTTAAACATTATACATTCATATATCCTACTTGTGTACAATACTCAATAAAACACTGATAATATAAAATTATCTTACATGGGGGCTCAACCTACGAAAGTATACATGTGATTACGCACACAACGATAATGATGATGCGTTCAGCTAAAAAGAACAAAAAGCAAAGCGGACCAAATGAGAAGCAACAAAGAGGACAGCAGAATAAAGAAAGAATAAAGGCTGATGAAGGAAGGGTAAAAACGGACGAAGAGAAGACACCAGAGGCGAAAACAGGAGAAGCTGTCAAAATGGACATAAACAAAACTTTTTTTGTCCCATTTGACGAAATAGAAGAACCAGAAGAAAAAACAGAGAGCGAACAACATGTTGGGCTTCGTGGCGCACCAACAGAAGTCACGATCCACCACGACGCAAAATACTCAAATATCAGCGCGGAGATGAGCAACAACAACGAATTGAGTGAGGTGCTCAAACTGCTGGCAACAAAAATTACACAAAACGATTCCAGTAAAAATAATATCCCAATCGAGAGCTTTTCTAAGGTTGTTCCTGAGTTTGATGGAGTGTCAATTCCAATTAAGCAGTGGATAAAATGTTTTGATGAAAATGCCGACGCCTACGAATTGACTGACAAGCAGAAATATGTGAACGCTCGTATAAAAATTAAGGGAACAGCAAAGTTATTCCTGGAGACCACCACTGTGTCGGATTATCATACGTTGATTGGATTGCTGTTGGATGAATTTGACAAGACCCTGACCAGCGCTGAGGTACATAAGCAGCTAAGCGAACGAAAGAAACACGAAAACGAGAATTTTCACGAATACGTCTTAAATATGCGAAAGATAGCTGCTCTTGGATGTGTAGATGATGAGTCGGTGAACCGTTATATAGCCGAGGGAGTAAAGCTGCGTGACGATCTAAAATATCCCTTATACAGTGCTTCAACATTCAAGGAACTACGAAGCCGATTCGAAACAATCGAAATTATGACAAAATCAGCAGTGGACCGCAAACAAGCAGCGAAAAAGTATGACGTCGGTAAAGCAGGAACTCTGGGAAAACGATTTGACCAGAATCAAAGGCATTGTTTCAACTGTGGATCAACGCAACATATGAGAGCCGAATGCAAGGAAGATACTAAGTGCTTTAAATGCAACGGCAGTGGACATACATCCCGTGATTGTCTGGGCTTAAAACCAAGCGTCAATATAACACTAGTCAACACGATTTTTCCTCAAGGAACAAAACGAACTTTTTCTTAAAGATTTGGGGCTTAGAAATGGTTTGATGATATTTTTTTTTTTTCTATAGCAGAACTTTTTTTTAAAGAATTTTTGAAAACTGGTATTTTTTTTTAAAGCTTTTTTCAGAGGTAACGCTTGTTTTTTTCACATAACTCTAGTATCTTACGTCTGGTTGTAAAGAACTTTGCTATTTTGAAAAGATAATTGACGCAGCTAGAAGTTGA